CTAAAACTTTGGGTAGCGGGCGAGTTTATGCACGAGCTGTGGACTGAAAATACGCAAACTAAGCTTGAAACATGTGACACTTTAAAATCATAATCTTAGAGGAAATGATAGAGGTAATGCGTAATCCGAGAATTATGTACTACGTTAAATCCTTCAGAGAAGAACAGCTACCTGTTTCTCGTTAGTAAAGCAATCCATTATACATTGCCCCCCCTGGAAGGCGAAGGATGAGTACACTGTGCTACAGACTGACCTGTCCTGTTATACGGCTATGAGACATGGTCGTTAAAAGTACAAGACATGAAGCGGTTACAGTGTTTCAATCACAGATGTTTTCGTAGCATTGGTTGCATATGATGAAATTATCATGTGAGCAATGTGGAAGTCAGGCGAAGGTTACTAGACAAAACAGGCAAATCGATTGATCAGATTATGGACCTTATTCCACTCAGATGGCTTGAGCATGTACTGTGCTTACCGATTCACCGACTACCACGACATGCAATGCTGGGGGATGTTGGATTAGATGGGAAGAGGACTCAGGGTGGGTGGCCTGACCAAGGCATAGGAGCTGTTAATGAAGTCCCTGACGGTTTGGTCTGAACCGTGTCAGGAGATATAGACTGCCTGGTTGGAGCCCCCTAAGACGAAAGAAATCAGTGGTTGAGGACTCTTGATGACTTCGCTAGAAATCTGTCAGAATAACGCAGATGTATTCACTCCTTGATATCTTCTAGAGCTTGAATATTCACACCAACCGTCATCTTCAGATTATTTATTCTCTCACATAAATGTGACTACTTTGATATCAGTCTTTTTTTATCCATCTATTCTTTGCATACTACTGTGAAGTGTGATAACTCGAGCTAATTCACGTGTGTGAGAGGTTCTACGTTGATTTTATCAGTCACTCAGTCCATTAGAAGTCATTAAAGTACATTATCGTCCCTATTTATTGAAATCGATGCCAAAAGCTAAATGAGCTTTAGTGTTTATGTTTATATCAACTAGGAAACTATTTAATATAAAGTGAATCCTTTGGTAAGCGAAAATCGCAATAAGACCAACTTCTCTAATCCCCAATGCCCCATAAAGCATTAATTAACGTCGAACTCTTAGCAATAATTATTATTTGAGACATAAAACATATATTAGAAGTAATGTTAAATTGTCGCTGAATAACTGAAGGAGTAAATTTTACCAGAGATTTTAATTAAAATGCTTGTATTGTCTGCATTCTTAAAGTCAATTAGGCTATCTTCAGCATAGAAATTTGACTATTGCTTAGAAAATGAAGGAACGTAGGGGCGGAGAAGGGAGAGGGCGGGAAGTGGGGAGAAATTTACACTTTCAGAAGTCCATGCACAATAAAAGTTGAGCATAAAACTATCACATATGCAAATATAAACTAAGATGTTTGAAATATCAGTGTTTAAAAGACATTTTTAGAATAAACTACAGTATAAAAAACCAAGTTTCCTGAAAAACTATCCATTACCTAGAGGTCAAGTTGAAAAGGTAACACTTACCAAGATTATCAATCTACCTATTGAATATGAACAGTTAGGAATAAAATAAAGATGTTCAAGTAGTTGAGGTCAAACACAGTCTAACATGATGAAGGGAATAAAATAAGGTGAGATTAAAGTACAACTCTTCTCAATATATGTATATAATATTCAGAAATAAGTATACATAACATAATACTTGTTCAGAAAGCTCTTTATCAAGAAAAATATTTTGTTCACGACTACATCACTCTACCAGGTAGACGATGTTTTCTATAATCAAAGAATAAAACTAAGCATAGACAATGTAGCCTAGAAAATGAAGAAGGTGAAATATCTTAGGCATATAAACAACACCTCTTCTAAATGATATTTTCAAAGAATACTGTTAATTTGCATAATTCTCAGCTAGCTGTTCAATAGCCAACTGTCTGTTCTAATTGCAAAATAAACAAGCTAAAGTCTATATGAAGTAAAGGATTTATAGCATTTAAAAGTGTTGAGTAAGCGAGTGAATAAGGAAAATCTCAGTCATATTTTCATAGAAAAAATATGAAGTAGAATAATAAATCAATAAATAAAAGGGAAAATAAATGCTTCTAATCAGCAATACTGCTAACAACGTCAATAACAACAATGATAAAATAAACAACAAAGTATGAACAGAAAATTAGAAAAGTGTTCCATCCTATCACTAAAACGTAAAAACAGATAAACAAACCGATTTTTAGAATAATAAGTTTAAAATCTTAAGGAAATGAAAATAAGAGAGTTTTGATTAATATTAGAAAAAGGATCGAGTCAAGTAAAGATTCAAGACATTAAATCAGACTAAGTTGATAGCGTAATCGTGAATATAATAACGGTAAACCTTTTTCTTAGTCTATACGATATCTTCCACGGACATTTAATCCAAATTATGTCATGAGATGCATGTATTTATTGTAAATAATCAATAAATTGATGAGATATTGTTCAGACAAAAGCATACACACTGTTTTGAAATGGTGAAGGAATTCTTGTAGCTGAGATAGATGATCTTAGTTATATTGCATTTCTAACCTAGATGGTTTAATCGTGAAGCTTTCATTATTTTTACCGACAATGAAAGCTTTCAGCTGGATGGAGGTAATCGACAGGAAGCCCTGAACATAAGTTTCGTGGTTGTTGACACTCATAAGGACGTATCTGCAACCCTAACGGAATTGATATTGTACTTGTTATTCGAACCCGCACCATCCATTGCTGTAGTCAGCGATGTCACCACTGAGCTATTCCAGCCGCAACTGACCCTCTGTAGGATTGGATTAGATACAGTGACTGGTCAATGGAAGGTAACCAACTTCATATTGTCTAGTCCTATGTGCTGATCGAACTCTATCTGTCATTTTGCAATGTGGCCACCGGACTAGGCAACTCAGCATCGTGATACACTTTGATAGAGGTTAGTTTGATGGAGGCATTCGGCAGGAAGCTCTGAACTGAGGATTCGTGCTTGTTGTTACTTGTTGGCAAGGCGTATCTGCCTCGATCCAACTAACATTTACCAAAGTGCGTCATGATGCTGAGCTGCCTCGTCCAGTGGCCACAAAGTAAAATGATCGATAGAATTCGATCAACATTTAGACAGGATGAAATTGCTTTCCCTCAAGTGACCGATCAATGAAGATAAAGAAAGCTTCCCGATTAAACCATGCAATTCACAGAACGCACAGTTCGTAACTTTCTCAGTAATCAAAATATTCTCAGGATTTAGTTTAATTGATTAGGTTGGTCAGCAAATATCACTCCAATAATAGCGATAATGTTTAGAGCCTACATGAAAGGATTATGCTCACAATACAAGTGTACATGGGACGTTTTCATGATCCAACAGGATTATTTTATTATTTTTTGGTGCATTCTACATCTTCAGCAACGTGAAGCCTTTATTGAAACCATATAATCAAAGGGTAGGACTCAGCTTAAATATTGTGTCTCATATGAGACGTGTCAAGATGGAAGATTAGTTCTAAACACAAAAATACTAATTGGTACCATAATACAACAATTTTCTACTCGATTAAAGACATTAGTTGACACTAGGCTTGATTTTCATTCTTTGACGAAAATGTTCGAGCGCATTGTCATACTATTTAATGATTCCAATGACATGCATTTACGATTTAATCCCAAAAATAAGATGCTAAAGAAGTGTTCATTAACTGAGCTATACTGCTCTGTAATACAGACTACTTCTCTCTTAACTATGAATCACTATCAGTGCAATGTAAACATATTTTTGACCATGAAAGTGAGATTTCAATTGCCAACCACTGATGTTATCAATGTCAGTGTTGTAATCAATATCGCTCATTCCTTTTTACCCACAATGAAAAATGTTGAATGGTAGTATAATACATGAATAACGGAATAAAAATATTGAATGTCGCAAGGAATTTGCTTCAATGGATTCTTACTGTGGAAATATGACTATATAGTTTAGTTAGAGGAAGACGGTTATCTTAACAATAAGAGACGCCTTTGGGCAATATATTTTGAACAATTTGATCACATATTTACTTATCAAGTCAACTTATATTAAGCCGAAAAGTGGGAGAACAAATATAACGATTAGGATATTAGGGAATGAAAATTAATCCAGTTACTGGGTTTGTGGGGATTTATTGATCCCAAGATGGTATTCATCATGGACTGACATCATTTGAAGGAACATTGGAAACCTGAGAGCACTGGATAGCTGTTTCATCCAAGTATGGGACTACTTAGAAGTGCATACCTATGACCCCGGGCGGCCAGGAATCGAAACGAGGACCTTCAAGTTCCACGGCCAGCATATTAACACTGAATCACTGCGTTGGAATTCAATAGTTCATATTTCTAACCTCTGCCAATTCATGAATAGCGCAACAATCACTCAATGTCATCGTTGAGTATTTGTCCTCAAGGTCATCAGGTTTATTCCACCAATCACAACTTCTTATTGGAACTTTAGAAATCACCTCTGCAAGCTAATTACCAATGAGCACTAGATTAATTCAACTTGGGATTTAATGATTTATCAAGTTGATATCCCCCAAATTCAAATGTTTGAGTAATTAGTTTTATTGCATACAATTGTATATAAAAAGTTCTCAAGTTTAATTCCATTTGTAAAACAACATAAAAACTCGTAGATAAACTTCCATACAACAGAATATACAGTAAATAAAGCTAATAATTTATCCTCTCTCTTAGTAAACTTAGTATTTATCAGCTTATGTAGACAATATTCACCGAAAAATGTAGACTGTACACCTGTCAAATCGTTACTAAATATAAAAATTTGGTCAAATAATGAAAATATGGAGAGAAATAAAAAACGAAAGTCAACCTATAGTCCACAATATGACTGATTATATTGAATTCCCATTGTAGTTATGTAAATGCTCAGCAATCTAAAACATTAAAAAAGTAGACAACAGGTAAAAAAATTTAATCGAAGGTGCCTACCTGTATTAGGCAAACATAACGTCGTCTCCATTTTCTAAATGCTGTTCTACCCAATGCATATAGATAGCCACAATGTTTAAGATTATTTGGTTTATCCATTCGTAATGTGAGCTGTATACGTAAATCATCGGGAACACTTTTTGCAGTTTGTAATTTATACCATTCAGGTTGTCGATTTCCTGTACATGTAGGATTTAATATCACCTAAAAGGTGTTGAAAAATGCAATATTAAAACTGAAAACAAACAAACAAGAGAATAAGTATCTAGTCGAAATACTTAACTATGAGTATAGATGAGTTATAAGTAACTTATTACTTAATCTATCATATTATTTATTTGTCCCTTGGGTTCCTGGTGGAACATAGGGCTTCAGTAGCACGTCGCTATTTCACTCTACTCTCTTCAGCCTTTTGAACCTGGCTTCACGACTTCATAGAAGCTTTCTTTCCCTTCTTACACGATCTCTTCCATGTCACCCTCGGACGCCCAACTCGTCGTTTCCCTATTGGGTTGCATTCGATGGCCTGGTGCGTTATGTACTTAATCTAAGTAAAAGTTTATCATGACTACTTTATTAACAAAAATCTTTATAGCAGTACTTAAGCTAGATGTTAAGACCGTGAAATTCAGCTTATTGAGATAAAAAGGCAGACAAAAGAAGTTTGAACACACAACCAAGGAAACTGAACCCTTTAGTCTAACTAAGGTGTCTACTTGCCTTGGACAAATGATCAAATAAAGTATTAGTGTAAATGAAAATCTAAAGCAAAAAAAACTTCTGAGCATACATAAATCTCATGCTTGTTGTTAATCATCACCAAAGCGTCTCCTCAAGTTCGGAGGAAGTTGTCTTATCTCTAGAACTTTATCAACTAGATGTACCAAAGTTGATAGTCATCATGGATTGACATCAGTTGGAAAACCAATGAGAACCTCACAGTACTGAACAGCTGTTTTGCTGCATTATAGGACTCCTCAAAAGTGGACACTCATGACTTCGAGATAAGATTTGTAGTGAGAAGTTATAACCAGTTGGGCAAATCGCCTCAGAGGTGAAGACAAGTAGTCATCGATGGTAGTGGATAAATAATGCGCTATAACGCAAACTAGTAAAACTAAGGATATGCGACCTATTGGATTCAAACATAATACCTCAATAGCAATATGCGGGCCACGGAAACTGGGAATCCTGGGTCCTGTGCACTACTGAGGATCCCTTTACTATGATGAAACACCTGTTCAGTACTTCTACATTTTCAGTGGTCTTTCAAATGATGTCACTCCATGACGATTACCAACCTGAAATCAATTAATCCATACAAACCTCTCCATTGAATTCGATGCATTAAAGTTAGGTTTGTCAATCTACTTGTGGTGTAATTCAAGTTAATATTATGCACCTTTTAAGAAACACAATGTGACTGTAGAGACTTTTAATTATAGTGTAGTACAACTAATCATAACAAATAGACTTAACAGCTCATCAACCAAAAAGTTTGATTCTTAGTAGTAAATCAAATAACTCAATAAAGAAACCATATTTCTGACTTTCTCATAGTGCTAAAAATCATCTCAACCTATGGGGTTAAAGAATGATTACATGGTAATGAACACCTAGCTAAGAAGTTGGTGGTTAAGAATCAGTTGAAACTGAAATTTTTAATCAATAAATTTCAATCTAGTGGCTGACTAACAACCATACTCTTTATTAGACCTGACAGTTTTGGTATATATATATATATATATATATATATATATATATATATATATATATATATATATATATATATATATATACCGTGAGTAGATATAAGAAAACGCGCCAAATGAATCCAAAATCAGAATGAAATGGTTGAAAAAAAGGCTCATTGGTTGTCATTCCTGCTTCACTTTATTTTCAATCTTTGGTAAGGGTTGTTTTTAAAATACATCAATTTATTTTACCACAAATCATCCAAGTGGATAAAAAAGCAGTATTTAGTTACCTTGAAAATAAATGATCTAAGTGTAAATACAATTTTAAAATGTATGACATAAAACTGTCAGTCAATGAAAATAGGATAGATTTTATATCTCATAAGAATTTAATGGTGAAAAGAAACAAAAATATTCATACTAGTACTTTTTATACAATTTTTGAGTATAGTAATACAAAGCTATAAATGTATACATAATATTACAATTTATATGATTTCCTGAAAGATAATAAAGATTAAAAAAAAGACTTGATTTTCAATTTTTCATTTTATGCTCAACATTCACAAGTATTATATTGTAACCTATTTTTGAATATTAAAAAATATATATTACTGGTAATGGTAGTAATAGTCAGAGTCTGTCTTAAATGTTACCATTGTCTATTTCTGCCTTCTTCATAATGAACAACAACATAGCTGACGTGGATGCCATAGGAATGCTCACGTTTGTGTTTATTCAGGCGTGATTTTAATTAGTTTTTATATTATGCAACTGATATTACTAGGAAACTTGACAGAAATAACAGTGGAAATAACAAAATTATAGAATACCTGGTATACGTTTCATTTCATTATCTTTTAGTTAGACAAATAATAATTTACTATAAAGACTGTATAAGCTATATAATACCAGTCGGGTAAACGTTCGTTTCTGTGACCCATAATTAACAAAATACGGAGAACAACTGCTTGATTTATCACGAATGTATGTAGAATCTAACTTGAAGAATGGTCAAATTCGTTATCCCTGTGATGAGTAACGCTTTTGCACGACAAGCCAGAATAACTCAGTGGTAAGTTCTCCGGCTTCAATACTGGGTGGTGTGAAATCGAATCTAAAGCGGGACATCAGTTCCATAGCGGCTGCAGATACCCCCTGCAGACGAGTGCAAAAAAAGTATAAAACCTAGATCAAGGGTTTCTTGTCGATTACCTCTATCCAACAATATCCATCTCAGTGTATCGCGATAGTGAGTCTAATAGCCTGGTGGCAACATTGTAAAATGATCGACAGAATCCGATCAGCCCTTAGGACTAGACAACAAGAAGTTGCTTATCTCACAATGACCACTCAATGTATCATTCTTTGAAAGTGTTTGTGAAATTATAGCTCATTGGTTTCAGAAGATGAATTTTAACCGGTGAATCGCGGGTATAGAAACCTCTCTACCTACTGAAGTTGTGGTAGTCAGGTAGTATCATTAGCCCTCATGCAATGAGTGCGGCTCATTGTCTACTACAGGAATGTGCACAAGGTGGCTCAACAAATTCCAAAAATATTCAAGTTGTGACATGACTGTATATCTGCTTGGCACTTTCAAGGCAGAAATATTTGGGTCTCAGACAGAATAATACACCTTCCCTTCTCGTACACCGTGATGTATAATCTCAGCAGCAGGGCACACAACATCTAAGAATTACATGAGCAGGTTTTGTGACCAACCGGTATTTCCAAGTATCAAAATGGCCTTATAGTAAATTTCCTTCTCCTACAAAGTAACACTTGTTTGTATAAAATATGTATGAAGAAAAAATTTTTACGATGCACTATATTTGAGATGAAAATCTGGTCAACAATCGGACCGCGTAGCTCAGTTGATAGAGCATCAGGCCGGAAAACTGGTGGTCGCTGGTTCGAATCCGGCCATGATTCAAATTTTCATTTCACCTTCAATCATCACCCAGTAATCCAAACTACTATATAATTATTCCATAATTTACCTAACGTTTTAATTACCCTGAATAATTATCACCCCTTTGATACTCTGAAGTTGATAATCTGTTATGAAACAATTATCACCACAAAATGGTATTAGTGTACAACCATCGATAAGGAAGGAACTAACTGGAAAGAAATATTTCTTCGCTCATATTCTTTGTTTTCTAAATGACTCATTTTGCATACTGTGACCTAGAGTACAACCTAATGTAAAAGGATAACATTGGTATAATTTCATAATATTCTTTTACAAGGGGTATTTAAGTAGTCCCCTCTCAGCCAAACATGTAAATATAATTTATTTATATCGTGAATCGTTTTTTCTATGAAATAATCATCAAAAGTGAAATGACAGAAAAACAAGTATTAGTCATCATTTTGACTATTTAAGATAGGCGTGGTTTGGCAAACTGATATTCATACTGGGTGATGATTGAAGGTGAAATGAAAATTTGAACTACGGTCGGATTCAAACCACCGACCGCTGGGTTTTCAGCCCCATATTCTACCAACTGAGATACTAGGTCTGACTACTGACAAAATTTTTATTTCACTTGAATCACTAAGAGTTTTGCATGAATACCATATGAATTTGTGGTGCGTTACTACCACTTGGTCATATTCACATAGACTGGCTAGTCAGGACTTCTTATCTCAATCCAAACCTAACTGAATTGGAGAGGGGGTGAGCATCGTATTGATTATCATTTTGACTATATATGATAGCTGTGGTTCGGCAGACAAGTAGTGATGATTACCGGTCGTGGTCCAAATTTCCATTTCACCTTCAATTATTACCCATTATCAATTATTAGTTAGACTATTTCAGGTAGCCTTGACTAGATAAAGCAAGTAATAAGCAAAAATTGATTGGGTCATTGTATAGATTTCTAAATCAGGGATAACTGAGTTCAACACTGTAGCAACCGAAGAGTCATTTGAACTTCATTCACCATTCCTAAACCTTAGAAATAATCAGAAATCTTTTGAGAATAACTGGAACAATATTTAAACTATAAATTTTGTTATAAAACGTAGACTGTGTAAAAATAATATAATATATAATATAATAATATATAATACATATATATATATATATATAATATAAATAATATATAGATTGGGGTGTACAGTGATTTATCTGTCTGGATAGTTAAACAACTGTCGAATAAGCGAAAACAGAAACCGTATGTTATATAAATATATACTACATGATTTGACATAGTATCATTCAAACAAGATATGACTGCAATCAAAAAATTATTATGATAACAACGACATAACTATTATTATCTTCATAGAAATAATCAACTGAATCACTCTGATGTTGTTCTGATACTTAAAATTTCCTGTTGCTATAATGAAAAGAATTGCTTAACCTCTGTTGGAAGATGAACTCCTATGCAAAAGCCTGGAAACTTCCCAGATATTCATGATGTTATGATCATGTTGGTGACTATCTGTATAAACCAAAACGCGTGTTATGCATTATTTAGGAGTGCAGCTGACGAGTCCCAAATAGGAAGAAGAGCGCGTTTTGCGTTATGCAACTCATTACCAACATGAATATAAATCACACTGGTTGGCTTGTGAAATCTTCGTCTTACATATAGTTACAAATGCATCACTCTGGATAAAGAGGATGAGCATTAGTATAACACTAAATTAATCGATACTCGTGAACACATTCCTATAGACTTTAAGTATAGTGAGAAGCGAAACTCAATCAAATATAGACTAACAAGAAGTCTACACAATGACAGCGGGAAGTGGTAGATAGAGAGCGAAGACTAAAGAAGTGGAAACAATAGGTAACAGTTGACAGTTATTTGATTCATCAAGAAAACTGTGGATAAGGAGATCAATGGTTAGTAAGAAGATAGTGGGAAGGGTGTCTCCAATTAACTCATTGAAAATGAATGGAATAAGGGATGGATTGTTTCCAGCAATAATCCAGCTGATCTCCAGCTAGTCCCCAGTCAGATCCTGAATGGAACAGAGATAGGTCCTCAAATACGTGTAGAAGATACGAAGAATTCTAATAATCTGAGACTAGGAATGGAAGCATGGTTACATGTGGTAGTGACAGGATGGTGGTAGAGAATTATTGGTTAGGTTAAGTGTAGTGTTAGCTGGAGAATAAGAATCAGATATAGTGATGGTATCGCCTTGTTAGATGAAAATTTTAACGAGATTCAGAGTCTTCTGGACACCGTGAGTGGCAGTGGCTTGGGATGGTATTCTCACCAATCAAATGCAAATTGCTTCTCCGAGGCCGGTCTTCGTTGTTGGAATAAACTAAAGATAAAGCAGGATTACTGACCAAGAGATGTGAGGAGAGATTGGAATACAAGGATCTCGAGGGTTGATAATGGTCTCAGAAAACTTGAGTGCAGATACAGTGGGAAGTTACTTCGTTGTGAGGCATAAAAAAGGGAAATCGGGTTAGTGATAGTAGTCGATAACCATAGAGTCCAAGGGGTATCTGCTTGAGATTGGTCATGTACGGTTTTACTGGCAGTTTGGGGCTTTGCTTTGATTAACTAGTATACAGCTAGACAATCCAGATCAACCGTACCGCAAAGAAGAAGAAAACGTGCCTTTTTTCAGACCTACGTTTTCTAATACCCGATTACGATAGGAAAGCTAGCGTCAGGGTGGTACTGATGATTATTCACAGGAAACACCTCACCACTGTCAAATCCCCATACAGTCGATAGAAAGACTCTACGGTTGACCTCCTATTTTATCCCAGGAATCCACGCTATAATGTTGACAGGTTGCTGTGTTACTGCTACTAAGTAAACTTTTCTGGTGCGGTTGAACATCAATGTTATACATTTTACTATCAACATTGCTTGTTGAACCACTGTAATATGTAAGCTCGACCACCATGTTAAGGTAGCACTCGATTATCAGTCTTACGATTACAATTTTCAAATTCATTTACAGGTTACTTGTATGAGATACAGTTTTGCTGATATCACTGTCTGGTATGTTTATTACTGCGCAGCAAGTGGAACATGTAAATAAGTAACAGTACCACGTTAGTATCGTTTATAGCATAATAACACTGCATAAAGTGCTGGTGACTAGATCAACTAACCCATTCAGGTTGTTATCAGATATAGTTGAAGAAGGATAAGACAGTGGACAATAGCCCAATGATTCATCTTTCATTGAAACACTGGTACAAACGAAATTTGAATAGTTCATTCTAGCTTCTGATTACTTTTTTTAGCATTTATATTATTCTGCACATAGTATGTCTAGGTGTAAATAACACAAAATTTTTCAGAAATGTAAACTGATCCAATTCACTACACTGCTCAACACCACATTAGAAAGCATAGACATACCTAGAAGGATTATCAAGTGCATGAAAAGAACACGAGTTAATTGAGAAAATATTACATAATAATAAAATATTTAAGACTTCGACTTTATTCTTTTAAAAAAATGCATTTCATGTGAAGTAATAATTAGTAAAGTGTAAAAAAGATTTGGTCCCCCCCCCCTCGAAAATCAAGTGAAACAGTTACTTTAACATTCATTTTGATAAATATCAGTCAGTATGTCAAATTATATCAGCAAAAAAGTATGAAAGTACACAAATTTTGCCCCGATGTCTTTATCTATTGATCACAGAAAGAATTAAATGATGTGCAAGAACACATACAAAAAGATTTTATCTAGAGGTAAAGACTGTTCATAGACATCAATAAACCTCATTCTGTTTCTGCAAACTATGTGAAACAATCCTTTGACAAAGAGCATAATTAGGATTCATATAATTATTGATTTGAGTTCAAACAAACAATAAGAAGCAAGAAAGAGAAAGAGTGTCAATCACACCCTGAATACCTCAGGGATAACATCTCTAACCACAGCACAAAGGGTTGTAGGCTAAAATCTTTCAGAGGATATCAGTTTCTTTGGGTTTGAAGACACACCCTGATGACGAGTATCAAAAAGCACGAAATCTAGGTTTAAGGCTGCCTATCGACTACCTTCCAAACATATAACACCAAAAGAAAGTTACTGACTTTTGGATAACGGAGAATTACAAGTATATCAATAAATAGTTAGATAAGTATTCTCCTGCTTTTGAAAATCAGAGTGATATATTCATCATCACTTTCAATACACTTTTGCCCATTTGACTTTAGTACAAATAAAGTTTATCATCGACACTAGAATAAATGATCCTGTCACAAAAGGGTTAATTAGGTCATAAAAACATAGACTATAAAAATTCAACGGTAGATAAATATTAAAAAAAGTATAAGCAATAGTGTACAGAAACAAGCATATTGAGTGAAATAATGAACTTACACGACCCAACTCTTTACCACTATCAAGTGATAAAAGCCCAGAACTTTCAGCATACAACTTCACTTTAACTGTAGGAAGAGGTTGATTCGTTGAAAAGTCACCTTGTGTACCCCATCTGTAGTCAAAGAATAAGAAGATGAGTATTAAAATGAAATACGATAATACATATATGTTGAATGCGAAAAAAAGATGAAGAGAATGAACATGCATTAATTGACCACTATACAGTAATCAGTGTTGTGTAACCTAGTCTTAAGTGTTGAGAACAGTCAATCGATCAAGTCAACAGTATGTCCACTAAAGTAAGAGACTCTTCAACACTTAGCGATATTTACTAATAATAATAGTAATAGTAATAATAATAATCAGTTCATTCCAAGCAATATATTGGTACAATTTGGAATTTTCGGCATGTATATTACAACAAGAATATGTACCCTTTCAAAACATTTCGAAAAGTGTAAATATAACAACTCAAATTACGTAAATCGTAATGATATCAAAGAAACATTTAACGTTATTGGTTAAAATATTGAAAATACTGATTATTTATTGTTACAAAATTGATTAGTGAGTCCCTTTCTAATACTTTTTTCCTCCCGTAAGATGAGTGCTAGGTAAGGCGCAGTCGAATTCTTGTACTTAACTGTACGAGCCTACAGCTTTATATAATTTCTTCTTGTTCCGTCTAAGGAGATACAAGGTGATAACTGTAGATAAAGTAAACGTTCAGTCTCAGTTAAAATTACTATAGCTAGTTACCCACTTGATTTTAAATGTCTATCAACCACAGTTATATTCAGTTGATCCAGAGGTATAGCATTTACGCTTATGACAGCTTTCAACACCCTATGCAATATAAAATAGTATTTTTTTTTGAAAGCAGATCAGCAAAAGATTAACAGGAAACAATAAAGAATATGTAAGATAAAGGAATTGATAAGTCGTGAAAGTAGAGACTGAGTCACACCACAGAGTCTCAGTTAAACGAAAATGTTTCTTGGGTGGCAACAAGATATGAGACGACCAACAAAAAGCACAAAAAAACTCAATCCAAGACAGTTAACATTCGAATTACTTTTCTACATCAATACTCTCAATACAATAGTAGTCATGGCTCCTAAGTAACATACAAGTCTTGTTTACATCTGGGGCTAAAATGTTTCGTGTTAGGCAGTTGGAGACCATCGATAACAAGCTTGAACCACTGATATAACGTTTCCGATTGTATGAATGGGTAGTGGAGGATGAAAAGAATTCTAGTGGGTGTCAACAGGCATTTTGTTTAGATTATTTTTAGCTGGACTCATATTTAACGACCATGTAAGAATCGATAACAGAAACAATAAAAAGCAGTTAAACATCAGTTCGAGTGGTCATAAGTTAAGACAAATGGATTGAATTGAAACAAGTGAAAAAGAGATACACATGAACAAAACAATTCAAAGGCAAAAGTAAATACGTATGGAGTAGTGACATTTTTCGTTTTCAAGTCTAAAGAATAAGTCTAAGCTGAAAAATCAAATGTCCCCAAGCAAATCTTTGGCTAGTCGTTGCCAGCTGTGAGCAAACAAACCGTCGTCAACTTCGACATTCACTTCTCTTAGCCTCGTCTGAAAACACTACACTTACCACAAAATCATTTCTTTCTTAAGAAACATCGAGTGTGTAAGTAAACAGTGACTTGATACGTGAAACATTTTGACAGCCATCTTCATCAATCCGCCCCCGGCAACATTTGATCCAAACGGATAGATTTGCTCCGACCGGAATCCACGATTGATTAGAATACTGCCTAGTATGTAGTTGTATCACAAAGGCGAGGTGAATAGCATATCAGTATTCACATATTTGTAGTAAAACCATCTACATTGTTTCCGGTGTAAATAATCAGGTAGGTAGTAATGATACCAAGTAAGCTTTTTATGCAATGAATAGGCAAACATTTAATTATCACTGCAAATGGTATAGGCTGCACCTAATATCAACCTAGTCATGCATAGTGATGCATACAACTTGTGTTAGCGATCAACTCAAAATGTCATCGTTAATATAATGATCGATGACGCCGAGTGACTTTAGATCAGTCACTAAGCAAAATTAGAATATGGAACAATAACACAGTACCTTTTGTTAGCTGAGAGATATATGGGGTGCTTAATAAACTCAGTCAATCTTTAATAGATGTCTGTGGTGTAGAATTCAAAGTAAATCACATGATTCGAAGATGAGAGATTAAAGCAGACAATGAAAAATTCATCTTCAAAAGGATCTTCGCAACAAACTAGAATGAAATGAAGACGAAACTTATCATGAGTGATATTTTCCTAAGCCCCAATTAGTATTCTGATGGCATGGAAAGATGTCATAAAGTTGACAGGATAGAAGTCGCATTTTGATGAATTTTCAAAGTAAATTGAATTTGACTTCATAATCATTAAAACTAGGAAAGGTTTATATCCATCCCTACAGCTAATTACTACACGAAATAAACTAAACAAGTTTGATGTGTAGCTAGAAACATTGCCAATCGCTAATACAGTACAAGAACATATAACAGTTTATCAATACAAAGGCATTTCACGTTGACGATATCGAACACCAAATAGTTTTTCTGACTAATATACTGTCACATCAAAAAAAAACTGCATAGAAAACCGCTAATATAAGATGGGACTTTGATATCTCTGAAACAAAATTCTCACAAAGTTATGGAAGAAAACCAGCCATTCAAAACCATTCAAGATGATGCACAGGCTTTACCAGCGACATCAGACTTTATTTTATTTTTTCTAGTGAGTCATTCATTAATTAGCTTTAAAATACTAAGCCTATAGCTGTCAGTTGCAAAAAGTATCCCTGTGAATCATACAGTCTTTAAAGAATTTGAGACATAATCATTCATGTTATGATATTGACAGTGCAAGTGAGACAGTTATCCAGGTTTGAATAATGTAAGGAATTTGATTTTACAGAGTGAAATTGGTTCGGTAACCCAGAGAAAAGCTCAGTCAAAAAACGACTACACATTCTGTTCAGTATTCGCATTGGCTAACAAAAATCGGCAAATCACCTTGATTGCTTTACAACTACTAATGGTTTTCATTTTTGGTTCAAGGATTTTTGCTTACAAATTCAGACAACAGTATATATCAACTGTCGTTGATTGGACCGAATTGATCGGTCTCAATTGGCATATAGGATCCTATGCGGATGCCTCGATATTACCTGTGCTCTTATGATAGTAATGATGGATAATGGCTAGCAGTGGAATCTAGGATGCACATCTCGTCCAATTTTGGCTCAGTGGTATAGTGGATAACGCTCTCGCGTTTGAAGCGATCGCTCCTGAGTCTGAATCCCGGTGAGAACAACATCACTCACCGAGAAGCAGGTACATCCAGCTGATGAGTCTCAAATAGGATGAAATGCACGTCCTGGATTCCACTGCTAGCCACTATCTATCATTACTAGTATAGATCAACTGCTGAAAGGTAATGATCGACGTAATAAAATTTTGAAACAAAACAACAAAAACAAATTAAATCATAAAAACTATACACACATCAGATTATGGTTGGTACAATTTTTTCGGAAATACATATTTCAGCATAAAGAGTTATAACTTTCAGAAAAAAGCCTCATTGAAAAATAAAATACTTTCCTGGTAAATTCAGCTTAACTGCTTATCAATTACTCAAAATTAAGTTCTCAGAAGTTTTTCCATCTCCACCTTTTCTAAAAAATTTATTCATAAAATTCCTTTGTAATTTGAATGTCTTAATTTTGATTGAAACTTATGAACACAAAAGTTTTCGGTTAATTATAGAATATTAAAAACGAACAATTAATACTGCCTGACTTCAGATTAAACAAAAGTTTGTGGAGAAATTTTTTCCACCAGTGAGGTACACTTTGATCAGCAGCAAGCACTAGGGAATAGACAGCTGTATGGAGTACGTACTGGTAGCACGCAACCACAAACCTGCGCCACCAGGAGTCTAACTAATGACTCTCAGGTTCTACGACCAGCATTTTACCATTGAGCCACTGGGTCGGGATCCAATGGTCTATATTTCCTATTTCTGTCAGTTCACGATATATATAAACCAACAAGTGTTCGAAATAAAAAACCAAGTACTAGAGAAATATGTGGTAAAGAATGAAAGAATTTATAAGTAGTACAACACGGCCGTAAGGGAAAAAAGCGTTCACAGAAATATACCCGAGAATTTCATTTCATATATGATTCTAGTTGATCAACAAACCTTATTAGACATGGAAAAGTAGACATTCACATTGATTACAATCCATCTGTAGATTTCGGCATGAATGGATGCCTCTAGAGAAATAAGTGTTTTGAAACTAGAATAGCTCATGAGAACTGACAAATACGAGACTTGAGTTGTTAGATTCACATCAATGTATGTCTTGTTATTTGCTTGAAACCTCCCACCATTCTATTAATTGAGTTTCAACAACTTTTCCTTTGATTAGTTCCACTTCGTGGTGAGACAAAGAAGCAGGATATTCTTGGTTGTATTGTGTTCTATGATCTGAGAATAAACAACCTAGCTCAGAGAACAGAATACAACCAATACCATCCATCTGAGCTACAAATATTCTCCACCATTTCAAAAGCAGGATATTAGACATGAACGAGCGAGAACGACACAAATATGATAGCAACAACAAAATTGAAAGTTATTTTGTACATATTTCGCTAAGAGACCTGACTTGATTTCAACAGAGAGAAGGAGAGAAGGAGAGAATGGGAGTAAAATGAAGGATAACTGATCAAATTTCTACTTGGTTGCAGTAGATACAAGTATATTACTAAACTTTTACTGAATAAACGATCACTGAAAATGTTATATATATATATATATATATATATATATATATATATATATATATATATATATATATATATATATATATATTGGATACACATATTCTTTAGAATAGAAGTATATATAATGCAATAATGAGGGAATAAAGTTTAAATTTTAATGAAATCTTAAAAAGTATTCGTAAGCTGAGGTATAGATTACATCGCTACTTTAACGAAAACGATGAAGAAAGTTGGAAAAAAAACATACACTGTGCCAGAATTCAAGATATCTACTCACCAGATAACTTTCAGGCGCTCTATTATATCAGTCATGAGATACGAATGACAATCACATCTCAGCATCTCTCGAATGACATCAGTCAGTTATCAAAAACGCTAAAGATGACACAGAAGTCATGATATAACAGTACTGCATAAAATTTGTTTACCAATTGCAAAGAATTTTTCATCAGTTAGTATTGTTCCCTTAACGGTGATACAGTGGCTTGTATCAACGCCTGAATATCATTAATAAATAAAATTTTAATAACTGTCAAGGTTATGTGTGTAACTCTTGATCAGTATCGCTTTATAGATGACACATAAAATCCTCAAAATCCAGAGTGGTGCAAAAAACACTCAAAACCATTGTATTTCGGCTTAAAGTTGATATTTTCTTTCATTCTGAATTAGGTCATGAAGAATAAACTCTGAAGATTTGTCAGTAGTTATTGATTTCAAATAGACTGTCACCATGAACTGACATGAGATGAAGAATAGCTGAAAGTTTGAGGACCACTGAGAAGCTAATTCGTGCTAGTATGGAATTCGAATAGTTATCTATACTTTATGTTGTGAAAAGTCACCACTTTTCCTTGAAACATTCGAGCCATAACAACGACTGAAATAAAATGTCATACCTTCATGAATGGATAGGATGTCAATGAAAATTCATAATCTTCAGAAGAGATAGGTAAATGCATGGTAAAGAGTAAGCATTATCGGTTAGTAGCTGGGATTATAATCAGATGTAATTGTTCTTGGACTGAAAAATGTTAATTTTGTAGTTTTTTTTTTTGCACATATGAAATACTTTTATCTTTTGTAGAAAAAATCTACAACTAAGAAATATTTCACACCTATTCAATAACTAAATCACTCCAACTTTTTCATAATATTTTGTTCAAAACTTATCTAAATTCATCAACTTGAAATAACCAAGGTGGAGAAGTCCCTAATCAGAAAAGTAACAAAAATCTACTGTCTCTGAACAAGTATATTTGTTCATCATTTGACTATCGGAGATAGCCGTAGTTTGGTAGACTTGTATTTATACTGGGTGATGACTGAGGGTGAGATGAAAATCTGAACCACGGCTGGATTCGAATCACCAACCACTGGGTTTCCGGCTCGACGCTCTGCCAACTCACCTATGAGATCCAATTGCTGACCAGGTTTTGATTTCACTTCAGTGGCCAAGGGTTTTAGCCGACTACCATATGAATACATGACGCGTTACTATCGCTTGATAGTACTCACACTGGTTGCCTAGTCAGAACTTCTCATCCCAATCCAAATGTAACTGAATTAGAGAGAGGGAGCATGATATTGATTATCATTTTAACTATCAGAGACAGACGTGGTTCAGCAGACTAGTAGTGAAACTGGGTGATGATTGAAGGTGGTTGAAGGTGGCTGCTTCGAATCCAGTCGCCGTTCAGATTTTCATCTCACCATCAATCACCACCCAGTATAAGTATATTTGTATCATTTTTCAAATGTCCTTCTTCAACTGGATAGAATGCTACCATAAATGTTGGCATGAAAACGCTCAGTAACCCAGATCACCAGTTGCTACCGACCATGCATATAACGTGAAATGCTGTAACCTAAAGTACCAATGAAATTCAAAATGAAAACACCACAATTCTGTTTTTCCCATTCGTAAGAAACTGAAACCGTAATGTTTTCCGTTACACACAATATTCTATTTTTAAAGGCAAGAGAAAGTGTCATGACCCTTAGTTGAATGTCAATGTAAGGAAAAAGTAAGCAAACTTCGCTATGCTGAAAGGTGACAATATTGGTATTTATAAGTAAAAAACCAATTTAGGACCTCGCACATAAGTACATCGGTTCAAGCTGTCACACTTTACAACAGTATACAAAGAGAAAATGGATGAAAAAAAGAATGATATCAAAGTACACAGGTGCATAGGAGAGGAAATTCAAAAGTAAGGGATAATCAAAACATTCAAAACTTATAAGATTTCAAGTAGTGGATAGAACTGCGTCACTCATCAACTTTCAACTATATCAACAAGAGTCCTCAACCACTGGTTCCTGTAATCTTGGGGACCCCAACCGGATAGTCTACATCTTTCCACATTGCTCAAACCAACTATCAAGGACTTTATCGACTGGCACTACCTCTTAGAATGGCAGCCCTGAGCCTACTTCCAACTTAACTCAACTCCTCCTGGCATGGCACGTAGAGGTTAGCGGTGGTGGCTCGAAATGCGCAGAACATGTCAAAACCACCTCAGTCAACTAAGCTTCACAATCATACCAATCCACTTGCCTGGCTTGCCTAGTATCTTTCGCCAGACTTCAACATTCTTCACACGCTGATTTCAATAAACATGAGCAACGTTGAGAAGACGTCTGTGATCAAGACCCTGTAACCACTTCATGTCTTCTACTTTCAACGGCCATGTCTCACAGAAGTATAACAGGACAAAATGAACTGCTGAGTAGTATGCTCGTCCTTTTGATAGATAGTCAGATATATCGCCAACGCTGAAGATGACACACCTTCGTCAAGTGAGCTGCAGTTGCATATATTTGGACTTTTATCTTTTTAGTTCAACTTTTGAAAAGTTGACTTCCTCTCAAAAAATCCGAAAGACAAGCAGTATAACAGGAAAACTATATGACAGATAAACTGTACTTAAATGACAACTAGTGTGTCACACTTAAGCTACATCAATTACAAGTGAATGAAGTCTCAGATAAACTACTAAATGATACAGCCTATACTGATGACAATACTCTTTTAATGCCTCAGAGAAACCACTGCATGCACCGATATCACTCTGACTTTAAGCGCAGCGAACTAATTCATCAATGTGGTACTGGCAAGGACTTTGATACTCTGTTGAACTTGCTGTCTGTGAAGCAGGTTGAGATGAGCTGGCAATACTACCACCCGAAAACGCTCCTGAGATAGCATTACCAAGCACTGATTCAACGGCTACACCACCGGCCGTCACTGCCATTTGTCTCATCAACCCCGGTAGTTTCGGTTGAGCTGGGGGATGTGCAGGAACTGATGGAGGTGGACGAGTAGGCAAAGTCGTACGAGGACGAGATAGTGGTCTCGAAGGACCTGAGTTTCTTCGTGGCATGATCAGTAAACGAAAGTACCTTAAGCCGACTTCATATTAAAATTTGTGCTGATGATGCCGTTGATAAAGACGATGAAAGCTTCACGATTAAACAACCCAGCTCAGAGAACACAATACAACCAAGGGAAACTACATCTTTGAGGAATAAATAATTAACCTGAAGTTATTTACCATGTTTAATAAAGGTAGTCTTTAGACTAGGGAGAAATAACACCATAGAGATTAAATGAATCAAAAAAGAAATTATAAGATAAAATATGCGCAAGCAGTATATTATTGTTTAGTGACTTCTTACGTTGGTTTCCCAGCTTCAGCTAAATCTGTTTGTAATCGTGGACCACCTTCAACTTCCATTGTACAATAAACCATTTTATTAGCTGGCAGGAACTTAAGATTTTTCACTTGACCAACAACAATCTGATAGATAATGAAAGAAAACAAAGGCAGAATATAAAAAAATAATCATGGTAAGAGATATTGGCATGGCAGTACTTTATGAAAATAAATGTTTACTGAACTACTCAATCTTAAAAGTAAGCCTAGTAAAAAGTAAACACTATTACTCATAGTAGTCAATATAATAAAAACCTGCATAAGATAATAACATATGGAAATGTTACCCGACGAAGGAGATTTCTTAAGACATTCCAGAATTATGCATATACTAATAAGTACAAGTTACTTCTGCGATTTTAAGTTTATTATTATTACTATTTGTCTCTTGGGTTCCTAGTGGAACATAGAGCTACAGTAGCATTTCACCATTACACTCTGTTCCCTGAAGTCTTTTTACCCTGGCACCACGACTGCCAAGAAGCTTTCACTTCTTCCTCACACGATAAACTTTAGGATTGAATTTACTACTACGGAGTAACACAAACCTTTATCAACAAGTATATGACGACGTAACATCCAAGTGATTCACAATGGAAAGCTCAGTGACGCCTTTGAAGTGAAGAAAGAAGTAAGACAAGTCTTCCAACTACTATCACCGATTACCTTCCTGATTGCACTGGACTGAGTTATGCAACAAATTGTGATGAGCGCGAAGAGAGGCATAGGGTGGACCGATGAAAAGACCGTAGAAGATTCGGATTTTGCCAATGATAATTTATGTCTGTCTTCTCGCACAAACCCGAAGATATTTAGGCAAAACCAACAAGCGGACAGAAGGGGCAGCGAAAACGGGACTTCAAATGAATATTAGAGAAGACAGAGGTGATTATGATAACCAGCCAATCAACCAATAACAACAAGCACCAATCACAATCAACAGTAGAAACCTGAAGGAACTAACCTAGCTTACCTACCTAGACAAGGTAAAATCGTTTCAAATACAGGCAGCACAAGCAAAGATGAGGACGTCAAAGCCAGCCACGATCCGAAAGACACAAAGACAGGCCTTCCTGCAATAACCTGAAATAATCAGTGTGGAGATCTACTGCACTCCACTCCACTACACTCAGCAAAAAGCATCTACAACATACGGATTGTCAACACTAATGCCAGTCAAGTAGGTCACTACTTCCATGTGATAGTTGAGAGACTTGGTGTGTCACCAAAAGCATTTCCAACAAACTACAAACATACATCATCAACAGTTGCCACCTACGCTCACTCGATACTGAAAATCAGATCAGATGGCCAGAATAATAAGAATAAGCAACAAGGAACTCTGGCTGGCTGGCTGGCTGGCTGGCTGGCTGGCTGGCTGGCTGGCTGGCTGGCTGGCTGGCTGGCAACGAACCAACTAAGAACCCATCGTCTTACAAATATGCAGTAGAAGAAAGTGGAGATGGATTGGATCGGGTATACACTGATAAGGCCGATTAGGGACATCACGCTCCAGGCCAGGCCATCGAGTGGAAGCGGAATGGGAAACGACGATTTGGGTGTTTGAGGTGAGGGTGACATGGAGGAGATGATGTGAGGAAGAAGTGAAAGCTTGTGGGTAGTGGTGGAATCAGGTTGAAAAGATTGCAGACAACAGAGTGGAATGGAGGCGTGCTACTTAAGCCCTATGTTTCACTAAGAAGCCAAGAGACAAATAATGATAATAATTATAATGATAATATATATTCTGAAGAGAAAGCAAAGAGACTTATAATTATTAAAAAAAAAGGGCATAGGAGTGGCTAGTACTTTTCTCGTTTGAAAATTCACCTATACGTGACGATAATTAAAGAAAGAAAGAGGAAAGAAAACTATGAAACAAAATTAAATTAATTCTGTTTCAATCAGAAGTTCCAATGAAAAAGGTGATCTAAGTCATCTAGATTCTAAAGTGAGTTTACTTATACAAGCATCATCTTAATAGGGAGTAAGCACTGAGATTTGTACTACACACATCAAACTTTTATGAAGGTAAACAGAGTCAAACAATAGCAGAAGGATAATAGAAGGAGAAAGAAAATTCATAAAAGAAACATTCAAGAAGATTCCATTGTCGTGTCAGAACTTTTTAATAAAAAAGACCTCTAGAACATAAACACCATTCTATTCAATTATTTGACCTATCTGTTAACTTCTCAAGCTACTAAGATGCATAATCTTCTGGAACACACTTAAGACACTGCAATGCAATAACAACTGTTCACCCATTTGAACTATACGTTATCTCAATACTCTAAGTGATTGATTCTCACTAACAGTAAATAACATGGAGATGGCTGTGATACAAAGTCCATGATATGTTTCAGTCACAAAACTTAATGTTAAAAGAACACTTTATCCCGTTCGAACCACTCCACAGAACCTGAAAGCTTAGGAGCAGAAAGTTACCACCAGATATGAGTATCCTGTAAAGAAAGCAGCGACACCATAGTACTGTACACTCAACCCTTTTGTCAATCAGTAAAAGTAACGGTCTATAAACATACTTTTTTCAAAACAAGTAAAGATGCTTATTCAATGTGACTTTCTTACCAATACTCACGCAATGCAATCTTAACCTAAATATTGAATTAGAGACTGTATTCTATATAAAGTTTTACAATTCATATAGTGATTTGGTGCCACATGTCACAGCTCATATGCATAATCCAATTATAATTCCATTCGAATATCATGTTGATATTCATCATGAACTGACTCAGTTGAAGGAGCATTGGAAACCTGGGAGGACTGGACAGCTGTTTCGTCCTAGTACAGCACTCTTCAGCAGTGCGGACCCATGACCCCAACCCACCAGGGATCGAACCCAGCACCTTCAGGTCCCGTAACCACCACGTCATCATTGAGCCACTGGGTCGGAATTCAATGGTCCACATCTCCAACTTCTATCAGTTCATAATATATCGCGACCATCACCTAACGTCATAGTTGAGTATTTGTCCTCACGGGCACCAGGCTTGCCCACCGGTTATGACTTCTCATTCGAACTTTAAGAATCACCTCTTGAAGCTAGTCACAAATGAGCACTAGGTTGATTCAATTTGAGGTTTGTGTGAATTTATTGAATTCAAGTTGGTATTCATCATGGACTGACATCAAGTGGAGAAACATTAGAAATCTGGGAGCACTGGACAATTGTTTCGTCCTGGTATGTAACTCTCCAGCAATGTGCATCCACCTAACGGAGATCTCTGAAACGTCCACTAGAAATAAATTTTCATACAAACTCAGTAGTATATCAGTCACAAAAAGTACACGACAAAACTACACAACCAAATAACATACAGATGTAGGAAGTCTTGTTAAATAAAATGGAGACTATAAAAGGTATAAATGGCAAGTTTTGCATAGAAATCTTGGAGCAATGTTACCTAAGTGTAGCACGTTTTCAAAAAAACCATATCTAAAATTTAATAAATATACTTTATATTTTTGAGAAGAATAGGGATTTTTAATTTAGAGATAGTATTGATCACAGACTGATATTAGATGAGAAAGAAATGAAAATCTGAGAACACTGAACAGCTGTTTCCTCCTAGTATAGAAACTGTGGGCGACTGAAATGCGACCCAGTGGCTGAATGGTTGACGCGTTCGCCTGAAGGTCTTAAGTTCGATCCTGAGACAAGTCATGTGTGCGTGCTCCTGAGAAGTTCCCACCTGATGTCAGTCCGTGATGAAAACTAGCTGTAAATATATTTTAGACAATAATTCATCTAGAAGTTTATTCAACAATCACTGACGTTGATAAAACCGCATTTAATGTTCCGTCAACAGACTTCAAAGCTGATAAATGTGAATGAGAGGAAACTACATTTTGTATGAAGGAATTAGCTTAGAAATACCTACTCAAGTATGGGGGGATGCATTACTACCGACAATCAGGCATTTGCATGTTTAGAGATACCTGCTAGTCATAGCAAGGGAGCATAAAAAATAAACAAAAGAATTATACCGATATAAACAGTTCCTTTAGGTAAACTGGAGAAATACAAAAACTCTTGATAGGTAAATGAGCTAAATAAGTGGTATCAATGTAATTCATTTGATTATCATTTTGACTGTCTGAGATAGCTGTGGTTTTGGCAGACTAGTAATGATACTGGGTGGTGATTGAAGGTGAAATGAAGATTTGGACCGCAGCCGAATTCGAACCAGTGACCACTACCACTATCTCAGATAGTCAAAATGATAATCAATATCATGCTCCATCTCTCCAATTCGGTTACATTTGGTTTGAGATGAGAAGTCCAAACTAGGCAACCAGTGTGAATACGATCAAGCGGTAGTAACGCATCACGAATTCATATGGTAGTCGGGCGACAACCCGCCTTGTGATTGAAGCGAAATAAAAATCTAGTCAGTAGTCGGACTTCGTAGCTCTGTTGGTAGATTATCGAACTGGAAACCCGGTGGTCGCTGGTTGGAATCCAGCAGAGGTCCGAATTCTCATTTCACCTTCAATCATCAACAAGTATTAGTTCGTTTGGGTTTAATCAAGAAAAAGGTGTACATACCAAGTAGTAAACCCTTTATAATCCTCAATGTAGTGTGAAAAATTCTAATAACAGTTGTATGTGAGCATACAGAAGGTCTAATGAAACCAAGTAATAATAACAACATGAAACAAAAATATGAACGGATACAAAAACCTTAAGCAAAAAAGTAATCGTTGGAAAAGGCCAAGATTTCTGATTTTTTAGTATATGTTAATCCATCTGAGAAAATAATTGCCAGTTTACTTGAAAAGATGAAAAGAATACCGGAAATATTTATATAAATAAAAACTAGGACTATTTTCCTAGTTTGTATTATTATTGTACTGATTTTAATAGAAATTCACAAATAACCTTTATGATACAATATAAAGGCGTGGTAAATTTGCAATGAATACAAAAACACTACGTATTATCAAGTTTATTATTTATCTTAGCATAATAATGGACCTAAATGAACTTCATTATACGTGTAAAACAATCAGGTTGCATTCATAGGAGCAGAATAATAAAATTTCATTTGAACGGG